TGGTTCCATAAATGTATCTCCTCGTTCTGTTAAAGCACTTGGATGTGATTTTTAAATATGCCCAACAAAATGCCATCAGTTGATTTTTCTAACTAATAAAGAAAATGTTCAAGAGTTGGTAGAAACTCTTGGTGATTATGCCATTAAAATCAGAGTACCTCGTTTGTAAGACATCCTCCGCCGGGCATAGTGGCTCATTCCTGCAATCCCAGCACTTTGGGAGGCTGAGGTGGTGGATCATGAGATCAGGAGTTTGAGACCAGCCTGACCAACGTGGTGAAACCTCACCTCTACTAAAAATACGAAAGTTAGCTGGGCATGGTGGCGGGCGCCTGTAATCCAGCTACTCAGGAGCTTGAGGCAGGAGAATCGCTTGAACCCGGGAGGCGGAGGTTGCAGTGAGCTGAGATTGCACCACTGCACTCCAGCCTGGGCAACAGAGTGAGACAAAGAGAAGACGGGAGGGGAGGGGAGGGGAGGGGAGGGGAGGGGAGGGGAGAGGAGAAGGGGGAGGGAAGGAGGGGAGGAAGGGAAGACAAAGGGAATAGAGATTCTCACATCTTATCCTCAGCAAAGCAGCAGCTCTTTTTGCTGCTCAGTAATTAATTTGCCCTAGGTAAGCGGAGAGAAGACAAGGGAATAAATTCTCACATCTTATCCTCAGCAAAAGCAGCAGCTCTTTGCTACTCAGTGATTAATTTGCCCTAGGTAAAGCCGATTCCTGTTCTAATTCCACACTGGAATTCTGTTCATTATTTACCTTTTTTTTTTTTTTTTTTTTTGAGATGGAATTTCGCTCTTTTTGCCCAGGCTGGAGTGGAATGGTGTGATCTCGGCTCAGCGCAACCTCCGCCTCCTGGCTTCAAGCGATTCCCCTGCCTCAGCCTCCTGAGTAGCTGGGACTACAGGTATGCGCCACCACCCCGGCTAATTTTGTATTTTTAGTAGAGATGGGGTTTCTCCATATTGGTCAGGCCAGTCTTGAACTCCCGACCTCAGGTGATCCACCTGCCTTGCCCTCCCAAAGTGCTGGGATTACAGGCGTGAGCCACCTCACCCAGCCCATTATTTACATTTTTTTTAAAATGGAAGCATGATTCATATCTCAATTTACCTAGTTCCTTACACAATATTTATTATCTCAGCATTTAGAACCGGTTACTCTTTCAGATCAGATAAACAAGGATTATTGGGTACACTTTGTGGCAGACTTTGAGCTGATTTAAACATTGCTGCTACACGGTTCTAGATACTGATATTGGTTGGCTGGCTTCCTATGTACAAGCACTCCTCAGTTACTTACATAATTGAATTAAACACTCTGCATATGTTGGAGGCTACTGCTTTTCTTTGTTATGTAAGCCTGCTTGCCTTCTCATCTACTGTCTCCCAACTTTAACCATGGTATTTCCAGATGGGCTGGATTTTTTTGTATTTGTCCAAAGCAGGCAAGTGAGAAGTAGAAGTGAAGAGTTTGATGGTCTTGCTAATTTCCTTGCTTTATCATGAATCTCCTTAAGCTTCGAGTTACAGGCTGTTGAGAAAGCCGCAAAAGTAGACAGTGCCAAGACACTAAGACTAGAGTACGTAAGAGTGTAGCATGCATTCATTCATTCATTCAGTAAACACTTACTGAGCACCTACTGTGGGCCAGATTCTATTCAAGGTACTAACATTACAATGAACATGAACAACAAAGACCCTGACTTTACAAGACATTCCAGTGAGGAAGACACATTAAAACAAACAAACAAACAAATACATTTATATTAAGAAAAATAAAACAGGGTCAGGGACAGAAAGTAGCAGAGACTGATATTTTCGACATGGTGGTCAGGGAAGGCTTCTTTAGGGAGGTAATATTGAAGCAGCAATTGAATGAAGTGAGAATGATAGCTGGACACTACAGGCAAAGGAAACGGAATGCAAAAGCCCTGGGCTAGGAACGTGTTTAGAGTGCTCAGTAGTGTACAGCAAGGGAGCCACTCTGGCTGGAACTAAGTGGGAGAATCCTACAAAAAGAGGATGAAGATGTAGTCAGGGGCCAGGGCATTTAGGCCTTGTAGAATATGTATAGAAAATTCACGTTCTGAATTTTATTCTAAACATGAGGGGAGGCTGTTGGAAAGTTTTCAGCAGTGAATTAACATGATCAGGGTACCTTCGGACACCAACGCTAGGTGGAAAACAGCCTACAGCAAAGTGTTATCAGAGTCCAGTCATGAAAGAGAAACTAGTTAATTCATGCAGAGGGAATTTTAAGAGTAATAGATGTCAAAAAGAATAATGGGGTGACATTATAGATTTAAAAAAAAAAGCAGCTGAAAATACCCTTAGCTGGAACCCATGGAACTGCACCAGCTACTGTGCCATTTGGAGACACTATCACTTTCATCCTCTGTCTACTAGAGAGGTGCCACCTTGACCATGGAAGGAATTTCTAAAGAATAATCCCTCCTCCACTTTCACTATAGAAATGGGCAGCAATTGCCACACGATTGAATCCAGAAGCAGTAAGTTACTATCTCCTGCCTTCTGATTTCCTTGTAGTGCCCCTACTGGCAGAAGCCAGCTGGCATGAGAGCCTGGGAAATGGGGTTCACACACTCTAGGCCCCCGCAGTAGAGTATAAAAGGGCAAGTGTAGAACTGAAAAATAACCACCTCAAGAGTCAAGGGTAGAAGCAGGGGGCTGGCGAGGTGGCTCACATCTGTAATTCCAGCACTTCGGGAGATTGAGGGAGGTGGATCGCTTGAGCCCAGGAGTCGGAGACCAGCCTGGGCAACATAGCAAGTCCCCATCCCTACAAAAAATACAAAAAAGTTTAGCCAGGCGTGGTGGCACATACCTGTAGTCCCGACTACTTGGGAAGCTGAGGTGGGATGATCACTTGAGCCTGGGAGTTGGAGGCTGCAGTGAGTCATGATCATGGCCACTGCACTCCAGCCTGGGTGACAAGAGTGACACATAGTCTTAAAACAAACAAACAAACAAAACCCAAAAGGGTAGGAGCAGGGAAACCATGAGGATGCCCAGCCTGTTTTTTCTTTTTCTTTTTTTCCCCCTCATCTGTGGTAATTTAGCCAATTCAAAGGCCTTATTCTCCATAATTTCAACTTTCCTTCAGATTTGACCAAGTCAGGTAGAGCTGGTCAAGCCCAATGGGAAAAAGACCAAAACAACAACAGAAACAAACAAACTGTTAAGCAAAATAAACAATCGCACAATTTGTATTATTGAGCGCTCTAATGGTAAGGAGAAATTAAGACCAGTTGGTTGTTAATGTTAACTTTAGTCACTAAGGTGAGTTTCCAAGACAAAACTCCAATTCAGGTGCTTACCTAGGAATAGGGCCCAGGCTCAAGACTGCTCTTTACCATTTTAGAAGGAGGAAAACAACTCAGACTCACCTTCCCTGCTGGAAGCCAGATGAAATTCCAGAAAGGAGTTGCCTGCTCTCCATCGTCCTGGAAGCAGGCAACTCGCCTTCCTTGTTGGGAGTTAAGTACAACTGCAGAAAAGAGGTGTACAGCAAAAGAAACCATATATCTCAACCAAATTTTGGGAGATCAGGGATTCTCTGGAGTGCGGAGCTCCCAGATCTCAGCAAATTGTCGTGTTCGAGTAATAAAAATAGCCCAAGCTGGTATCAAGCACTGATAGATTTGTCAAAGGTCAGGGCTACCTCCACTCCGAGTCACTTCCTTTGGCTGCCAGTTTGTAAACCAAAACCAGCTCTCAATCAGTTTGGAAGTTCATTTTGCCAAGGTAAAGGACATGCTTGGGAGGGAGGTCTATGCCTTTATCTAAATATGATTTTGAGGGCTTCAATATTTAAAAGGGAGGAGCGGGCTGGAGGGGAAAGGGGGAGAACACGGTCATTACTGAATCCACACATTGCACAAATAGAAAAAGGAACAGGCAGGGGAATAGTCAATTACATATTTGCCTCCCGCTCTGTAAATCAGCACTTCACTAAGGTGAGGACAGAGCAGCTACCTGTGGGGACATTTAACCTTTTATCTGTGGCTATCTGCTTTGGAACATACAGAAAGGCAGTTTCTTGCATGACTCAGCTTTCTGCTTAATTTTTTCCTTCTGGCATAGTGAATTGGGCTCCCACGGTTTTTGTTGTTTTGTGTATAAGTGGGGAGTTCATTTGGGCCAGGGCCCGGAGTTATTTTCTGTTCACAAATATACCCTCTGGAGTTCAGAGGAAAGGCTGGGATTAGAACTTTCTGTGAGCACCATCCATGGGATTACACGAGGAAGTGGCTGTGAAAAGATAAGACGACCTCGTACTAAGTCCTGGGCACCCGAACACCTAAGAGGTCAGGAAGGGGAGAAAAATCCAGCAAAGGAAAACCCAGAGGACCCGGCCAGTGAGCTAAAAAGAAAAGTGCAGAAGAGTGCAGGAAAATGGTAAAGAAAAGAAAGCTTTCCACAAGACAGGGCCCATCAGCTGAGCCAACTGCTGCTGAGTAGTGATAAGAGCTGAAGTCTCTCGCCCGAAAGGCAGTGAGGCGGGAGGGGGAAACCGGAGGGCGCGGGTTCTGTCTCGGGAGCAGGTACATGGAAGGGTGTGCAGCGGGGCAAATGCAGCCCGGGGAGCTCTGAGTAACCGACATGCGAGGATGATGCTTGTGCACGAAGGAAATGACCGCTGTCCGGGCTCCGCGGGAGATGAACCCGGGCTTCCCGCCCTCAGGGACTAGCTCTCCAGGGAACCCGGACGGTCAGTGCCGGTCAAGTCGAGGCAGCTCCTCGCTGAAGGAAGGAGCACGGGACAGGGAAGCAGAAAAGGGAGCGCTAGGCCTCCAACTCCGTCCCTCTGGCCACGTTTGAAGATCCACAAAATGGAGGAGGGAACCCCTCTGAGCGTGCCGGAGCGGAGACGGCTCTCCGTTGCAGTCCGGACGCTTCCGGCCGGGCGCCCACTGCCAGCCGCGCGCCCTCCGCCTGCTCCTCCAGGATTCCTCTTAGCCCCCTCTGGGGCCGCCCCGGGGCGCTCTCAGCAGGATGGCCAACACTTTCCCTCCATCCCTACACCCCTCCGCTCCCGGGCCCGTGGCAGCGCTCCGCTCCCGCACTGCGCACTCCACCACCTACATCCTAGCCAGCTGCCAGAACCCGGGAGAGAGCGGGGGCCGCGTGGGCGAGGCCGGCGTCCGGCCGGCGGCTGTCACGTGGGCCTCCCGGACCAATAGGCGCGAGGCTTTGGGTCAAGCTCAGTCAGCCCCGCGGCAACTGGGTCTGGCAGTGGGACTAGGTGGGCCCGGAGGCCGCGGCTGAGCGAGCGAGCCCTCGGCAAGTGAGTTGTGGCTGCGGGTCGGCGGTGGGGACAACCCCCGGAGGGAGGCGGAGAGAGGGGAGGCAAGGCCCGCACCTGCCTGCATCCCGCTTTCCACGCCCCAGCGCCCTCCGACCGTGCAGTTCTCGGCAGGACCAGGCCATGGAGCGCGAAGTACAGCGGGCCCGCCAGGCATTCCTGTCCGGACGGTCGCGACCCCTGCGGTTTCGGCTGCAGCAGCTGGAGGCCCTGCGGAGGATGGTGCAGGAGCGCGAGAAGGACATCCTGGCGGCCATCGCTGCCGACCTGTGCAAGGTACGCACGCGAGCGGCGGAGCGCGGGGAAGCTGGCCCCAGCAGCGCACTTGCGGGCCGGAGCTTCTGCTGGGTTTTGTTTTTGCTTTTACATTTCGGATTACTCCAGCGCTGGAAGTATGATCTCCAGCAATACAGATAAAGCCAAAGTTCCCTCTGACTTTCCCTGTCCTCTAGCACTCAGAAGGGCATATGTTGTTACCTGGCTTCTGTGGTTCCTTTTCTGCCTTTTCTATTGTTGTCCATTTTTCTGTGACATTTGTGATTCTTTTCCTTATGATGTGTAGGAACTCTTTGTATATTCTGAATTTCAGTAATTTGTCAGTTTACCGTATTGTAGATACTTTCTTTGGGTTTCTTTCTTTCTTTTAAAGCCAGTAAAATTTAGCAGTGGGAGAGTTGTATACCAACTTTAGTGACAGTAATATTTAATAAGTTCTGAATAATCCATTACCCTCAGACCAGTCTCTGGGTCTATTTCTTGCCTTTTAGCTTTGTTTATGGTTTCTTTTGTAGACAGAGTTTTGTTTTTAAGTTATAGTTGCACTCAAATTTTTCTTCATCACTTTGTGTGTTATTAGGTCAGTTCTACTCAAATTTTAATGCACTAACAGACACCTGGGGATCTTGTTAAAATGCAAATTATTGTTCAGTACGTCGGGGTGGGATCTGAGATTCCAAGTTTCTAACAAGGTCCCCAGTGATATCATATGCCTCTTTTGGAAACACGCTTTGTGTAGCAAAGTTTTTATTGTTTTGATGTGTGTGTGTGTGTGTGTTTGTATGTTTGCTTGTTGTTTTGTTTCGCTTTTAAGACAGAGTCTCACTGTGTCTCCCAGGCGTGAGTGCAGTAGTGCGATCTCGGCTCACTGCAACCTCCACCTCTCCGGTTCAAGCGATTCTCTTGCCTTGGCCTCCTCAGTAGCTGGGATTACAGGCGTGCGCCACCATGCCTGGCTAATTTTTGTATTTTTAGTAGAGATGGAGTTTCACCTGTTGACCAAGCTGGTCCTGAACTCCTGGCCTCAAGTGATCCGCCTGCCTGGGCCTGCCAAAGTGCTAGGAATACAGGTGTGAGCCACCTGTATATACCCCTGGCCTGTGGTAGCAGAGTTTTAAGTAATGTTTTAGGGTGTAAGTATATTCCTCTATGTTTTCTGATAATAGTTACTTTTTTTTTTTTTTTTTTAAAGAGACGAGGTCTCCTTTTGTTACCCAGGCTGAAGTGCAGTGACTCAATCATAACTCACTGCAGCCTCCAGCTCCTAGGCTCAAGCAGTCCTCCTGCCCCAGCCTCCCAGATACTAGGACTACAGGCATGAGGCCGTCATCTTGTTTTTACTTTTTATCTGCATTACATGTGTAGCAGAGCTTTACTCTAGGTTTGTGATTTTTCCCTTCCCCACAATCCCCTCAAAGGTTATTTTAATAAGTCATAACAGTAGTAGTACTAGTAGCAACTATAAAATTTAGAGTACTTTTGGTGGAAAGGGGCTGTGATATTAAATAAACAAGATGGGATAATTAAGATTCCAAAAAGACTGTGTCATTTAATCATTCTTGAAGAACTAAATGTTTGTGTGAGTATGTGTATATATAGGATGACTCAAGAAATACAATAAGTTCCCTGTCCCCAAGAGTTTTAAACTTGGTTGGGAAACAGAGCATACACAGATAAAATGTGAGTAATAGTTATAAACCAGTGCGTTAAGGGTAAAATATTAAGATGCAGGTCAATGTCAATAGCATAATTACTGTGATATAGAAAGTTTGATCACAGCAGACCTTTATTACTCAAGGAAATCTTCCTGAAAGAGGTAATATTTAAGCCTGGCTTTTAAAGGGTGTGGATTAGTAAAGAAGGATTTACTAGTGGTACTACTACTACTACTAGTGTTACTACTCCCTGAAATAATCTTTGATTTTTTTTTTTAATATATTAGAGAATTAGCAAGCCCTTATCAAGGGCGTGAAGGGTACAAAAGGAGTCTGGATGGCAAACCAGCCAGTCTGATAATGCCAGTTGTTGTCACTGCATGTGTACCTGGCTTGAGTGTTTTGACATTCAGGGCGAAGTGTATCATACTTACTCTGCAAGATTAACTGTGATTCTCTTATACCAGAGTGAACTCAATGCGTACAGTCAGGAAGTCATTACTGTCCTTGGGGAAATTGATTTTATGCTTGAGAATCTTCCTGAATGGGTTACTGCTAAACCAGTTAAGAAGAACCTGCTCACCATGATGGATGAGGCCTATATTCAGCCACAGCCTCTGGGAGTGGTGCTGATAATCGGAGCTTGGAACTACCCCTTTGTTCTCATCATTCAGCCACTGATAGGAGCCATCGCTGCAGGTCTGGTGCCAGCTTATGTCTATATACCTTTTTAGGGAGGCTTATTTTGTCATATTCATTGTAAATTAAGGATAGTGGCTAATTAAATGCATTTACTTTGGTGGTTTGCCTTTGTTTACACCACCAGTGTACTGAGAATTCATACATATCATACATATTTTTCAATGAGCTGCTGAGGAGATTTGTGTGGCTATGTTTTGAAGCACGTGGAATGAACCTGTGGGAGTGTAAAGGTGTCTGAGTCAATAGACCCAGGAGTTTGGAGTCAGGCATCTGTATTCTAATATGGTTTCAGTTGCTGGCTCTGGCTTTGGATGAACCATTTGATTCTGTCTGACCAGTTTCTTCATTCAAATAAAGGCTATGAGAGTGATGCTAGCCTGGGTATATAGCAAATGCCAGGAGATTAATTTCTCACTTTGCAGGATCCAGATAGAGATCTGTATGTTGAAATCGCTCATTTGCCCAATAATTCCCGGGCAGAGAGGACAATCTAGGGGCAGAAGTGGGAGAAAAGTGATAGAAAGTTGGAGGAGTGGGAAAGGCTGATGGAACCCATTGACAGTGACCTGAAGATGATGACAGCTAAGGAGTTAGCCTTTGAAGAGAAAGTGAGGTGAGCTCTTATGCTCATTTTGAGGATGTGCAGCATTGAGAGCTGCAGAAATAATTGGGAGTACCTAGCCTGTACCTCCCACTGAGCGCCATTTTGGTAGCTATTACAGTTAAGTTTTAGATGATACTGTTCTACTTTTTACTTTGTTTAGGAAATGCTGTGATTATCAAGCCTTCTGAACTGAGTGAAAATACAGCCAAGATCGTAGCTAAGCTTCTCCCTCAGTATTTGGACCAGGTAAGAATTTCTTGACCCATCTTCAACATACGTGTTTACTGTGGAAAACACACATTTGATTTTCTTGCTATTGCATGTTATTGCTGGCCAGGGACCCGATTGCAGTTTCTTTAAGCCTTCAGCAATTGGCTTAGTAAAAGGAGTTCAGTTCCAAAGTACATTGTGGAGTCACCTGGCTGTGGAGGTTACACAATATATGTAGGCCCATGACTTCATGTGTATGTACTACTGCTGTTGACAGATTGTCTCTGTTTGGCATTTTGGAATAATCTTTATTTGAGCTAACGTGATTTTAGGTGTTTTCATTTAATGGATTATTTAATGAGGGACTGGTACTGTGCTGGGTGCTAACATATTTCTGTTACTAATAATTTCTTTTGTTCTAACAAAATGTACTTTTATATGATTGTATAAGAGTACTCTTTTTTGTTGTTTTTTGAGATGGAATCTTGCTTTCTCACCCAGGCTGTAGTGCTGTGGTGGGATCTCGGCTCACTGCAACCTCCGCCTCCTGGGTCCAAGTGATTCTCCTGCCTCAGCCTCCCAAGTAGCTGGGATTACAGACATGTGCCACCACGCCCAGCCAGTTTTTGTATTTTTGGTAGAGATGGGGTTTCACCATGTTGGCCAGGCTGGTCTTGAGCTCCTGACCTCAGGTGATCCGTCCACCTTGGCCTCCCAAAGTGCTGGGATTACAGGTGTGAGCCACTGCACCCAGCCTATAAGAGTACTTCTGCTTTCAAAAAAGACATGTCGGCCGGGCGCGGTGGCTCAAGCCTGTAATCCCAGCACTTTGGGAGGCTGAGACGGGCGGATCACAAGGTCAGGAGATCGAGACCATCCTGGCTAACACGGTGAAACCCCGTCTCCACTAAAAAAAATACAAAAAACTAGCCGGGCGATGTGGCGGGCGCCTGTAGTCCCAGCTACTCGGGAGGCTGAGGCAGGAGAATGGCGTAAACCCGGGAGGCGGAGCTTGCAGTGAGCTGAGATCCGGCCACTGCACTCCAACCTGGGTGACAGAGCGAGACTCCGTCTCAAAAAAAAAAAAAAAAAAAAAAAAAAAAAGACATGTCTATGGCATGAAAACATGCCACACACACACACAAAAAGTGCCCTCCTGAATTAGAGGATGTATCTTCACACTGACTTAACATGCTGGCATTTAAGAATATCAAGAACTGAATAAAGAAAATGATCTGCTCAACTGCGGGGTAGTTCATCTGTCTGAGTCAGAGGTTCTTATGCCCTCCTGGGAAGTTAATGATGCCACGAAGAAATGGGCACTGCTGAGTTCTACATGAGTTGCTGCAGAGAGGAGTCTTCATTTAGCTTTCATCGAAAGACAGCTTAAAAATATCTTAACCTGTATTCTGTACATCAACTTGTAATGGCTTGAGGCCAGTTCTGGTTCTTGGAATGCTATTGTTCTCTTTGTTAGAACCATTTTGTTCTAATAGCTGTAATGATCCAATCAAGAAAGATGAAATGGAAGACAGTGAGATGTCAAGGATTGAATAGGACTTAGAACCAGAAGATAGAGGTTGAAGGTACTGCTTTGCCCCTGACCAGGGGTAAATTATTCAATAACTGACTGTCCGGATAAGGAGGATAATAATGCCCTACGAGCTTCAGTTACTGTGTTACGGGGTTAATAATATATGCTATATAGATTAAGTCATAGAAAAGTTAAAGCTTGAAACATTTGTTGGGCAGCTGAACTATGAAGTGAATGAAACTAATTCGCCTTCAGAACAGGAGATCAAGTGGAAACATGAGATCCACAAGCCAACTTTTACTTCACACTTCCACCTTGGAGTCTTGAATACCTCTCTGTCTTGCTTGGTTGCCATCTGTTCTCTTACTTTTCATGCTGTTATTGTCTAAGGTGTTATCTCTTAGAACAGCTGGTAATGATAGCACAATGCGTACGTAGATGGGCTCAGTCCACAGAAGCTACGTGAATTCTCCCAGTGCCAGATGAGGAAATTGAGGCTCAGAGGTGTTCGGTAGCTTGCCTAAAGTCAAATAAGCTGGTGAGTGGCAGAGCCCAGATTCAAACCAGATACACTTCAAAAGCAAGCGCGCTCAGCTACTGTGCCGGGTATACCATTCAAAAGAGCATGGGCTGAGCCTACTCTGTTGTGAGACAGAGAACATTCAGACTAAGATATGCAGCTGGGACCTGTCCTGTGGGAGCCATTCTTCACCAGAGTCACTTCTGCATACACCCACATCTCATGCATTTTCCCTGATCAAGTTCAACCATTTGTTCTCCTTAGTGTCTTTGTTGCTGAGCTCATGTAAAAAACCGAGTCTCCAGGTTGGTTCTATGTGGGTTCATGCTTCCCAGATGCCAGCGAACTGTGTGTTCTCCTCTTGTCCTTGGTCAGCGCCCTCTCCCATCCCTCACAGGGACTGGTCTTGACACTCTCTGGGTTTTACTGAATGTTACATGTTTATGTTGAAGAGATTGCTGATGTTAAGATGTTAGGATTAATTTGGCAGTACAAGAGTTTGTGTTTCTCTTTCTTTGAGGACCTCTATATTGTTATTAATGGTGGTGTTGAGGAAACCACGGAGCTCCTGAAGCAGCGATTTGACCACGTTTTCTATACGGGAAACACTGCGGTTGGCAAAATTGTCATGGAAGCTGCTGCCAAGCATCTGACCCCTGTGACTCTTGAACTGGGAGGGAAAAGTCCATGTTATATTGATAAAGATTGTGACCTGGACATTGCTTGCAGGTGAGTCTGGCTGTCTGATTTTCTGCGGTTTTCCCAGCACAGTGGAGACTTTTCCTGACAATGTTACTCTGCATTTGAACCCCATACCTTATGGCTCCAAGATATATCGTTAAACTTTGGTGGTCGATGTCATCAAGAGTAACAGGAGTCTTTCACTGTCTCTTGGTGACACTGTCAAAAATGGTGAGCTGTAAGTCCTGACATTGTGTGGTTGTCCTTAGGAATTTTGAAAAAGTTATTTCTGTCCTCAAGATTACAGCTAGATCTAGCAAGAAATTTAATGTTCTTTTGGCCCGTGATCTGTGAAGTACATAATCCAAAGTATTGTGTGCGCCAAATAAAATCTTTAAATTCCCATTTGAGAGGGTATTATGCTGATCTCTTAACTGAGATCCTTTGTGGACAAAACGAGTGTTCCTCATTTTTTAACTGTGAATAACATCTTGCATTTGAACATCAGAAAATAAGAGGTTTCAGGTTCTCTCTGCTAAATCCGGTTTAGCTACTAAGAAGTGCCAAATCATAGAACTGACTCTGCTCTGGGTGGCGTGGCTTTCTCTCCCCTTCTTGACTCTGTGCCCAGGGTGGCGTGGCTTTCTCTCCCCTTCATGACTCTGTGCCCGGGGTGGCGTGGCTTTCTCTCCCCTTCATGACTCTGTGCCCTGGGTGGCGTGGCTTTCTCTCCCCTCAGAGATTCCAGGCCAGGGTTCCAGGTTGGCTTCCTAAGTAGAAATCTTGTTGCCAAAACCGGACACCCTCAGTTAGTGAATGTTCAGGGCATGGGTTTCTACCCATGGATGGGAAAGGTCTTCCCAAGTGGGGCAGGGCTCCACAAAGAGGAGGGTGGCCTTGAAGTCTGGCTGCCATCCTGCTTTATACCTGAACATCTTGCCAGCAGATCCAAAAGCCACAACCAGGAGAGTCTGTACCAAACTCCTGTCATCCAGGACTTCCCTTTGGCGGGACTGGGAGAGGGGAAAGGACATTGGGAGGCTGTTTCTCCTCTTTTCCTGCTGCAGGCAATGACATCACTGTTTACCAAGTACTGTTTCCCATGAGCTGGCGTGAGAATTCCCTGCTGTGTAAAATATTCTATCTCATTTGGAAAATACATTCTAAGTTCCAACCAACTGATTTAGAAATGAATTTTTAACTTTTTAATAAAAATTGCCAGATAAATATATGAATCTATTTTAGTTGCAAAACATTCAAACAACGCAATGTAACAATTGAAAATTTGACTGAATTATATAGTTGTTCTGGATTTTTTCCTCTCAGACGCATAACCTGGGGAAAATACATGAATTGTGGCCAAACCTGCATTGCACCTGATTATATTCTCTGTGAAGCATCCCTCCAAAGTCAAATTGTGTGGAAGATTAAGGAAACGGTGAAGGTTTGTATTTAAAACATCTGATTCCACTGATTTTAATAAGATAAAGAGTCAAATTAACTATTCACAGGCAGCATCCCCATTTGTTTCTCCCTTCAGGAAAATTTTAAAAGCGTATGTGATTCAATGAGCTTTCTTACTAATATGAAAATGCTCTGTGTACCTTTCATAGGATATCTGCTGGGAGCAAGGTTGCCTTGGTGTTAAATCTACTTAAGTTGTCTAGTTGATTTGTTGATGATTAGTTGTGTCATATACTTTTTAAAAAAAAGTTAAATAATTGTGTGTCCGTGGTTTTGAGGGAATGTTGCCAACCCTTTAGGTATAATCAGAGAGACCCTGTGGCATATTGGCCATTACTGATGAAGGTTATCAGTTTTTGTGTATGTAGAGGGCCTAGAGTAGCCAGTAGTTTGGAGGAGTGACTTAATTAAATAACTACTTACAGTGTACCCTTTGTATAGTTAGCAATCTTTCAGGGTGTTTAAAGTAAATATCTACAGTGAGGGAACCAAGGAAGACTGCATGGTAGAGTCCCAAGCCAAGACTTGAAGGAAATGTAGAATTTAGGTTGGTAGAAAGGAATGGGGGCTGGGCATGGTGGCTTATGCCTGTAATCCCAGCACTTTGGGGGGCCGAGCTGGGCAGATCACTTGAGGTCAGAAGTTCAAGACTAGCCTGGCCAATGTGATGAAACCCCATCTCTACTAATTAGCCAGGGGTGGTAGCGCATGTCTGTAATTCCAGCTACTCAGGAGGCTAAGGCACGAGATTCACTTGAACCCTGACGAGAATTGCTTGAACCCAGGAGGCAAAGATTGCAGTGAGCCAGGATCATGCCACTGCACTCCTGGGTGACAGAGCAAGATTCTGTCTTAAATAATAAGAATGGGATGACCAGTGTGACTGAGTTCAGCAGTGGGTGAGGGTCATTAACCCCTCAGATGAAAGAAATTATTGGAGTAGTCAGTGTTTACTCGACAGATGTTAATTGGCACTAAAAGGAAGGATCAGAAACACCAAAGAGTAGTGCATGTGATCTGAAAATGAGAATTGTTGGCCGGACATGGTGGCTCACGCCTGCAATCCCAGCACTTTGGGAGGCCGAGGCAGGTTGATCACTTGAGGTGAGGAGTTGCAGACCTGCTTGGCCAACATGGCAAAACCCATCTCTACTAAAAATACAAAAATTAGCCGGGCATGGTGGCGTGCACCTATAATTCTAGCTATTTGGGAGGCTGAGGCACAAGAATTGCTTGAACCCAGGAGGTGGGGGTTGCAGTGAGCCAAGTTCATGCTACCGCACTCCAGCCTGGGTAATGGTATGAGATTTTGTCTCAAAAAATTAAAAAAAAAAAGAAAATGAAAATTGTTGCCGGTTGCAGTGGCTCAGTCCTGTAATCCGAGCACTTTGGGAGGCTAAGGCAGGAAGATCGCTTGAGCCCAGGAGTTCAAAACCAGCCTGGTCAACATAACGAGACCATGTCTCTACAAAAGAGAAAAAGGTTAGCTGCGCATGGTAGCACATGCCTATAGTCCCAGCTACTCAGGAGACTGCAGCCAAAAGGATCACTTGAGCCCAGGAGTTCAAGGCTGCGATGAGCCATTATAGCACTACTGTGCTCCGGCCTGAGTGACAACGTATGATTCTGTCTCAAAAAAAAAAAAAAGAAAGAGAAAGAAAATTGCCTGGGCACGGTGGCTCACTCCTGTAATCCCAGCACTTTGGAAGGTCAAGGCAGACAGATTGCTTGAGGCCAGGAATTCAAGACCAGCTGGGCAACGTAGCAAAATCTTGTCTCTACAAGAAATACAAAAATTATCCGGGTGTAGTGGCTTGTACCTGTGGTCCCAGCTACTTGGCAGGCTGAGGGAGGAGGATCGCTTGATCCTCCTGGGAGGCGGAGGCTGCAGTGAGCCAAGAGTGTGCCGCTGTACTCCAGCCTAGGTGACAGAGTGAGACCCTGTCTCAAAAAAAGAAAAAAAGAAAGAAAATTGTGTACCAGGAAGTTCAGGGCAATAGTTCACCATGTGTTCCAGGCAGAGTAACTTCGGGGATGAGGTGCTAGGGCCTTGATATGGGTATTGGACTATCATTTTTAGTGATAGGACTAAAAATGGATCCAGATGAGCACGTGAAGGAAGAGTTGCCCAGATTCAGGGTACGTGGGCAGAGAGAGTGGTTAAAAGATACTTGTGAGATTGAAAATATTTGGGAATTGGAGAAATGCTTAGTTGAGTGTGGTGATGAATTCAATTTCAAAGGAATAAGGGCCTCTGCCTCCCTTTGAGGCATTTATACTCTTAACACAGTGGTTCTCAAGCTACATGTTAGAATCATTAGGGAACCATTTAAAAACAAGTTTGCAAGCCTTACCCTCCAAAGATTCAGCTTGTCTGAGGCCTCCAGGTAATTCTGTGATGCACTCAGCACTGAAAGCTACTGTTGGTGACTCTGGAGTCAGAGCTGAGGCACATGCATTTTAGCAAGCTGCACCAGGGATTCCAACCACCCAGACTTGAGAGTTGCTCTTGGTAGAGGTTGGATGAACAATGTTCATTTTGATTTGGGATTAAATTGAGAACTCTCCCAAGGCTTTGAAGTGATGCAGCAATTCAGTGATTTTGTTTTACAAAGTAAGTGTTGATTGCATGATTATTGAGGTTCTTTTACCTTGGTAATTTCCCAAAGCTGTATGTTGATCCTTCGAGTGGTTTCACCATCACGTGTAAGTGGTGGAAATACCAGTTCAAAGAAGACCAAAACAGCAAAATGGAGCAAAGATTGGCAACTGTTTTCTGTAAAGGGCTAGGTGGCAAATATTTCAGACTCTGCAGATCTTTGGGTCTCTGCTGTAACTACCGAACTTACTGTAGGGGGAGAGCAGGCACAGCCAATGTGTGAACACATAGGCAACCCTGATGCAGAACAAGACTTACCCCAGCCTGCTCCCACTGTCAGCCGCAGGAGGTGAAGGCCCGTGGGTGGGCTGTAAGATCCGTAAGAGCCTTTGGAACTATGGACAGTGATAGATGTCTTCTGTGTGTGTGCGCTCTTTATTTTCTAGTCCTCGACCTGCCAGAAAGCTGAAATGTACTATCGTACTACTGTCAAATTACTTGAGGGGTGGGGAGTTAGCTTCTGTGAGGGTATAAAACCAGATTGATTTTGGGCATGGCTGGATTTTGTACTCACTGAAATTGAATTGTGGGTCTTTGTGACATTTATATACTCCTGTTGTTTTAAATAGGAATTTTATGGAGAAAATATAAAAGAGTCTCCTGATTATGAAAGGATCATCAATCTTCGTCATTTTAAGAGGATACTAAGTTTGCTTGAAGGACAAAAGATAGCTTTTGGTGGGGAGACTGATGAGGCCACACGCTACATAGGTAATGGAAATTCTCCCTTCCTATGGGAAGATGGCAATTTGGCAGTTTTTGCTGGCACTACTTATTAACACTAAATAAACTATTAAATATATAGCTTTTAATTGTTGAAGTACTAAATCCTGCTTTCTGGTATACTGTAGCTTTTGTTATAAACTATTTAAAATGTCTACGTTTCTGTGTATTGAATGATGCCACCAGCATTGTTCCAGTTCATATTTACATGTAACTACTTTTTTCTTCATAACAGTCCTGAGAAGCAGAATAGAACTTGATGTAATTATCTTTAGTTCATGGATGGGAAAACAGCACAAAGAAGGAAATAGCTTGGTCACTATTCCACAATTAACCAGTGACGGTACCATCCCAGAAATAATGTTTTGGTCCACCAGTGATGGTACCTTATTATTTGTGTACCTTCTTTGTGCTTTTTCTTCTTTGCCTTGAATATATATTACTTTGAATGTTAAGCACATTTTTCTAAATTAACATATAAGGTGACAGAAAAATTAGACACGTTTGGACTTGGCTGGCAAAGAAGCTGTACCACGTAGCTTTACTTATCCCCTTTATCAGATAAGATGCTACAAGTTACCAAAAAAAAAAAAAAAAAAAAAAAAAATCAACTTTAAAAAAACAAAATTTAAAAATGAAATAATAAGCAGAAATTGATTCTCTTGTAATTAGCAGTCCCGAGGTTCTGCTGAGCTGTATAATTCAGTGGCTTCATGATACCATCAAAAAACCCTGATTCTTTGTACTAGGATGCAAAAGAAAACAATCCTTGTGCCTTCTGTCTCTCTTGGTGGTGGCCCAGATCGAACTGGGGAATACATCTGTAGAAAAAAGAGAAAACGGACTCTACTTCTTTCACCTCTCTGTTCTCCCATCCTCAGCGTGTCCACATTGCCCGTTTCTAGGCTAATGAATGGCAAAGGGAAGGGGCTATCCTGATTAGTTGATAGACTAATTAGGACTTTCCCCTGACTTCGAGCTGGGATCATTTTACCTGAGCGCGGCTATGCAGAGGAAGTAGACACTCAGCCCAAATTGGTTCTCTGACCTGAGGAAGATGTGGGCAATGGATTTGGGATCTGGAAGTGGTGCTGCAAGAAGCTGTCCACAGCCACATTGCCAAGATAATCTATTAGAAACTAGGGGTAAAGGAAAAGCGCCGACTTGTTATTGTCAGATGACTTCTCTTTTGGATGACGATCCAGTTTCTTATTTACAGAGTCTTCTGGAGTACTGCTCGTTGGTGACTTACATTGGCAGCAGATGCTGGGACACTTTGCATAGCCTCCCCAGCATCTGTTTCACCCTCCTTTTTTGTGCCTCTTCCCTGTGGTAGATGGGACACTGAACTAAGGCTTAGGGAATTTTGACCATTTAACTCTGTTTTCTTAATCTGTCTAACAGAGTTGTAATAAAGGTTAATGAGATAATATATATGAAAGCTCTCGAGTTAAGAAAAAATAGTATTGATTTGATTCATGGTTGAGCTGTCTTTGCTCCTAGAAAGACCTGTCCGTTCAAGACCAGCCTGACCAACATGGAGAAACCCCATCTCTACTAAAAATACAAAAGTTAGCTGGGCGTGGTGGTGTGTGCCTATAATCCCAGCTACTCGGGAGGCTGAGACAGGAGAATCACTTGAACTCGGGAGGCGGAGGTTGCGGTGAGCTGAGATGGCACCGTTGCACTCCAGCCTGGGCAACAAGGGCGGAACTCCGTCTCAAAAAAAAAAAAAAAACACTGTGCACAGAAAAATGTTAAATATAATCTACAGTTAAATGTATGCATGGCTGTGAACAGAGTTCAATGTGAAAAAGATAGATTTGCACAAGTGTCCACAGGCTTGTGATTCACAGGCTTTGGAGACATTGAGTATTTGCACAGCTCATCCACCTGCTCAGGATTTTTCAATAGATATGACTTGCGGGGCAGAGGGAAAGGGAGGGATAGGTGACCCAAGGAAAGAGATACAAGATGAGAGTTGTACATTTTTGTCTAATAAGTATTTTTATTTTCATTTTGTTTATTTTCTTTTTAGCCCCAACAGTACTTACTGATGTTGATCCTAAAACCAAGGTGATGCAAGAAGAAATTTTTGGACCAGTTCTTCCAATAGTGCCTGTGAAAAATGTCGATGAGGCCATAGATTTCATAAATGAACGTGAAAAGCCTCTGGCTCTCTATGTGTTTTCGCATAACCATAAGGTAAGCTTTAGTGAGAACAGCTCACTAGCATAAGCGACTATCAAGAGTTATGTGCCTTCTTTGCTGTAAAACAATGTGGAAAACAATGTGAAACAATGATGGTTTCTTCTGTCATATCAGAGTCCACTAAGTGAAGTTGTGTTCCTAGGTTGCTGTCTTGGTTTATGAGGCTCTGGGGTTATCACAGCATCCGTTTCCCTCCTCCCTCAGGTTAGATCTGAGTCTGCAGGGTTGAGCGTCGCAAGGTTTTTGATTCACAAACACCTCCTGTATAATTGGAAGACTTATATGTGCCAGCATTAAGTGCTTTTCTGATGTTAATCCACAGGGCATTGTCGCGTAAGAGCCTGCACAAAATGGCATTCGCACCCACTGTGTGGGACGGAGACCCCGACACTGTCACATAAATGGTTGTGATATGATGGATTTTAGTTTCTCACATGACGCTAGCTTCTTGTTAGAGTGGTGGAACCGCATCACCTGGTTGAGCAGTTCTGCCACTTTCTGCATGGCTCACTCATTCATGTCACTAGGGGACCAGCTGCTACTAAGAGACAGTGGCCCAGATGTTTTCGGGAGAACTTCTGATGGTAACGTGTAGATAGTCATGTGACAGCTTTTGGAGCTTGTGAGGCTATTGAGATACAGATAGCTACAGGTATTTGAAGTGAGACCAAATGTGTGGGGCTCAGTAAAGACTGGGTTATTAACAAAACAATGGTTTGACATTTAAAACCATGGATAACGTGGGCAGGAAGGAACCCTGAAGCCAAAAGTTGGCTGGCCGGGGTCAAGTCAGGTGTGGAGCACTTCCCAGCAGTGGGTCACCTGAGGTCACTACAGTCCAGACATGAAGAACTGTCAAGGGCTTGCTGGCACCCAAGGGAAATGATATTTACTAGTCAAGTGTTCTTGTGCTTTTCTGGGCCTTAGGCCAAACAACCATTTATTTCTTAAAAAATAGGATGCTAAATCTAAAGTCTTAAATATTTTTACATTTCATAAAGACTAAATAATACCTATTAATCATGTGTTATAATGTAGAGCAGAGATAAGAAAGAAATAATAACAGTGTTTAAAGCTGGAATATAGTCTAAGCTGTTCCCTTACAAAGAGCCTTTTGCTGCTGTGTTGGGGAGTACACCTCTAGGTTGTGGCTGAGTCGGCCCAGAGGTTTGGAGCTGCCTCCCTTTGTGCACTGGATGTGTCTGAGAGGTTGGGTATCAGTCACTTTGCTAAATTAACCACAGTTGAGATTGTTTGTCTATCTGGCATGGTGTCCCCAAACTCAAGAATTTTCACTGACACAAAGCCAGAATGTGCATGCTTTGAACTCGTAACTCTGAGCACACAGCCCTCTGTGTGGTGGGGCCATGAGTGTTCCCTGAGGGGCAACTTCACTGACCTGGATGCCTTTGGTCTGTCCTTAGCTCATCAAACGGATGATTGATGAGACATCCAGCGGAGGTGTCACAGGCAATGACGTCATTATGCACTTCACGCTCAACTCTTTCCCCTTTGGAGGAGTGGGTGAGTCTTATTTTCTCCTGCTCATAGTAGATACTTCTTTTTTTTTTTTTTTTTTTTTTTTTTTTTCCATAGTAGATATTTCAAAAGCACCACCATTTCATGAGTGGATTGTGCGGGCTGTTGAATTAGCCAGCTGTTGCATACCCTGAGTGTCCTGTCCTGAGGGAGGCCTTTCCTGGTCACCCAGTTGACTGGTTTTCCTGCTTCCCTACCCACCCCTGCAGCACAGGGTGAATGTCCTGTCACTCTTTCTGTCAGCAGCACTGACTGACCGCAGCTGTAATCATTACTTTGTTCACTTCATTGATTTTGTTTATTGTCCTGCCACATTTAGGAGATTTGGGAACCAAGAGTCAGGTCTCAAATTAAGAAGGTCTCTCTTTGTGTTTTTTTTTTTTAAATGCGATAACTAATGAAAGGTTCGGAATACCAGAAACAGACAGAAGGTAGAAGGTTTTCTAATGCGCCCTTGTTTTCTGCTCAGTTCTTACCTGCATTTGTTCCCTGGCCCTTTGTTTGGAAGAGCAGCCTCTCCTGGAATTGTTTTGTGATTTGAGTAAAATGAGACTCCCCCTGTTCTAGAGAGGATGGGCAGAAAGAAATTCATTCCAAGGGAAGCTTTGTGGACATAGCCTGATCCTTGCTGTTCCCTTTAGAACGTGACCTGCCTCCCTCTCCCACACGTGAGATGACCGACTCAGTGTTTTATTTCTCCTTTGGGACCTAGGCTAGGTGGGCTTTTCTACTATTTTCTACTATCTGATAGAGATATTACAAAATAGCCAATGTGTAAACATTCTCATAACAAAAACCCAACCATAAAAGCCACTGTCTTAAAGCCCCGTTCTATCCTCTCCCTTTGTAATACCGGAAGTCAGTTGCTCCATGGGATGCGATGGCCCAGCTAGGCAGGACCGTCTGTTTCTGGTTAAGGAAACCTTGTCCTATGACCAAGGAGCCTTGACCTGCAGCCACAGGTCCTTGTCTAGGAGGTAAATATATTGCCAGCACCCAGCACAGTGACTGACATGGGTGAGGGACAGGCGGGAAGAGGCCAAATCGGTAGGTATTGCCAGATCCAAATTGGAAATGGTGGTGGCTTGTAGAGGGTGGTGGCAGGGGAGGTAGTGGAAAGGGAAGGGGTTATTTTTGGGATCAAGCAGCAGGATTTGCTGATGGAGTGAATGCTGGAGGAGGGGGTGAATGAAAGAGGATGACTCCTGGGATTTTGGCTGGAGTAACCAATAGTTTTGTAGCCCAGATGCTTAAAAGATTGGACTCCATTGTCTCTAGTTCCTCAGCTCACCACATAGGATCCTGGCATCCACTGTGCTAGTGCAGTAATCAACTCGGTAATTGTTCCATATGGTGTCTCCAGTGCCTTCTAATTGCAAATCTAAGTGACTTGGGTTCAGTCCCTGTCCCTACTTGACCAGGTAGCCTGTGGCATCATTGACTATACCATCTTATTTAAAACAAAACATAACTGGGCGCAGTGGCTCATGCCTGTAATCCCAGCACTTTGGGAGGCCGAAGTGGGCAGATCACTTGAGGTCAGGAGTTCCAGACCAGCCTGGCCAACATGGTGAAACCCTGTCTCTACTAAAAATACAAATGTTAACTAGGTGTGGTGGCATGTGCCTGTAGTCCGAGCTACTAGGGAGGCTGAGGCAGGAGAATCGCTTGAACCCGGGAGACGGAGGTTGCAGTGAGCCGCAGTTGCGCCACTGCACTCCAACCTGGGTGACAGAGCAAGACTTCATCTAAAAAAAAAAAAAAAAAAAGGGTAGGCATGGTGGCTCATGCCTGTAATCCCAACACTTTGGGAGGCCGAGGTAGGAGAATCATAAGGTCACAAGATCAAGACCATCCTGGCCAAAAAGGTGAAACCCTGTCTCTACTGAAAATACAAAAATTAGCTGGGTGTGCTGGCACACACCTGTAGTCCCAGCTACTCAGGAGGCTGAGGCAGGAGAATCGCTTGAACCCGGGAGGCGGAGATTGCAGTGAGCTAAGATTGCACCACTGCACTCCAGCCAGATGACAGAGCAAGACTCTGTCTCAAAAAATAAAATAAAATAAGTAAATAAATAACAAAATAAAATAAGCAACCTAGTATATACCCACAAAAGTTAAAAATGCAAAAAGAAGATGCAAAAGGAAAAAAAACAGGTTTACTGTCTTAGCAAATTTCAGGCATATAATACATTATTATAGTGGCCATGCTGTAAAAAAATAAAAATAAGACAAGCCTTGACCCCCAAATGTAAAAGGAATACAGGCTTTTTGAGAAAAGTTGGAAAAGATAGAAGAGCCCAAAGAATAAACATTTAGATTACCCATAACCCCACTATGTAAAGATAACTGGTATATGTCTTGCACATATATGCACACGTATGTACACAGACACCTGAATATTCTATTCAAAAAGGTATCATACATTGTTCTCTACCCTGTATGTGACAGGATGGTGTGACACTTTTCCTATGTCGATATTCTTGCATGTGATAATTTTAGTAACTGCATACTTTTCCATCATATGAATGTGGCATATTTATGTAACCAGTTCCCAGTATTAGATTTTTGTGATTTCAATTTTTTTGGGATTATGATTCTTGTATAATGTATCTTTAGGCACTCTCTGATTAGTTCTTTAGGAAAAATGTCTACAAGTGTAATTACTCTGTTAAAAGGGCTTATACAATTTTCCAAATTGAAAAAAATGTCTTTTTCTTCTAATTCTCAAAGTAATACAGACACAGCGGCAAAAAGTCTAAACAGTCAGACTTTAAGGAAAAATGTAATAATCTCCCAGGCATAAATACTATTAATATTTTGGCATATAGTTTAGATTTTTCTTTTTCTTTTTTCTTTTTTTTTTTGAAACTAAGTCTCCCTCTGTCACCTAAGCTGGAGTGCGGTGGTGTGATCTCAGCTCATTGCAACTACAGGTGTGTGCCACCATGCCCAGCTAATTTTTGTATTTTTGGTAGAGACAGGGTTTTGCCGTGTTAGCCAGCCTGGTCTCAAACTTCTGGGCTCAAGAGATCCACTTGCCTTGGCCTCCCACAGTGCTGGGATTACAGGCGTGAGCCATCGCACCCAGCTTAGGTTTTTCTTTAGAAGTGCTTACCTTTAAGGCTTTTGATACATATTTCAAGTGTCTTTGCAGATTTCTGCCACTTTATATTCCCATGAACATTATATGAGTGTTTACTTCCTTATATCCCCAGTTCTGGATTATTCCATTATTAAATTTCTAGACAGAAAGCGTCTCATTTCAATTTGTACTCCTTTGATTATTAGTGAGTTTGAATTTTTTTTAGCACTCCCATTAATTTTCTGTTTATGTCCTTTGATATTTTTGCTGTGTTCACATCTTCCTTATTAGCCTTTAAATAGCCTTTTTTATAAGTAAGAAAATCCTCAGTCCTATCTGTAACACATATCCCTTTCCAGATTTTAATTTTTCTTTTAATTTTATCTATGATTTGAAGCATTTATTTATTTAGAGACGGAGTCTCACTCTGTCACCCAGGCTGGAGTGCAGTGGCGCGATCTTGGTTCACTGTAACCTCTGCCTCCTCGCTTCAAGCAATTCTCCTGCCCCAGCCTCCCAAGTAGCTGGGATTACAGGCACCAAACACCACTCCTGCCTAATTTTTGTATTTTTAGTAGAGATTGGGTCTCACCGTGTTGGCCAGACTGGTCCCCAACTCCTGGTCTCAGGTAATCCACCTGCCTCAGCCTCCCAAAGTGCTGGGATTACAGGCGTGAGCCGCCACGCCTCGCCTAAGCCTGTGTGGCTTTTTGGTTTTTGGTTTCTGATTTGGAAAGTAGGCTTAGAAAAGCTTTCCCTATTTCAGTATTACATAAATATCATCTGCAGGCTGGGCGCAATGGCACACACCTGTAATCCCAGTACTTTGGGAGGCCAAGGCATCTGGCTAACATGGTGAAACCCTGTCTCTACTAAAAATACAAAAAATTAGCCGGGTTTTGCGGCACCATCTGTAATCCCAGCTCCTCAGGAGGCTGAGGCAGGAGAATCACTTGAACCCTGGAGGCAGAGGTTGCAGTGAGCAGAGATTGCACCACTGCACTCCAGCTTGGGCAACAGAGCGAGACTCTGTCTCAAAAAAATAAGAATAAAATAAATAAATAAATAAATAAATAAATAAATAAATATCTGTAGTTTCCCTCCCTCCCTCCCTCCCTTCCGTCCTTCCTTCCTTTTAACCGTGGAGTTGGCCAGTCGTGGTGGCTAACACCTATAATCGCAGCATTTTGGGAGGCCCAGGCAGGGGGATCACTTGAGGTCAGAATCTTGAGACCAGCCTGGCCAAACGTGGTGAAAACCCATCTCCACTAAAAATACAAAAAAAATTAGCTGGGCATTGTGGCATGCACGTGTAGTCCCAGCTGCTTGGGAGGCTGAGGCAGTAGAATCGTTTGAACCTGGGAGGCAGAGGCTTCAGTGAGCCAAGATCATGCCACTGCACTCCAGCCTGGGCAACAGAGTGAGACACTGTCTCAAAACAAAAACAAAAACACACCATGGATTTCACTTTAGAATGCCGCATGATGTAATAATTTGCCTTTTTTTTTTTTTTCAAAGAGTAAACTAGTTATGCTGGCACCATTTTTTGAAATTATCATCCTCATACCATCAGTACTCAATAAAAACACGTTTAGGTCATTCTTAGGGTTTTTTCATTGGTTGCATTATCTTTCTGGTTTGTTTTTTCTGTGGGCCAGTACCACAGTTTCAATTACAGTAGTTGTACAGTCAGCTTTACAAGTGACATTTAGTAAGTGCTTATTATATGCCAGGTACTGCGGTTGAATCCATGCCTTTTCTTTTCTTTTTTGAGATGGGGTCTTTGAAATGTCATCCAGGCTAGTACAGTGGTACAATCACGGCTCACTGCAGCCTCAACCTCTTGGGCTCAAACAATCTTCCCGCCCTAGCCTACTGAGTAGCTGGGACTACAGGGGTGAACCACCATGCCTGGCTAATTAAATTTTTTTGTATAGAGACTGGGTCTCACTATGTTGCCCAGGCTGGTCTTGAATTCCTGGGCTCAAGCAGTCCTCCCACCTCAGCCTCCCAGTGTGCTGGGATTACGGGTGTGAGCCACTGCGACTGGCCAAATGCACGCATTTTAGAGACAGACAGCTAATAAGTAGTAAGCCAAGAAATGAGCCAAAGTTGTCTGGCTCCAGAACCCACATATTCAATCCAGTAGCTTGCTTTTTAGGACACAGTACTATTTCAAAATCTAAAAGTAAAAGCTCCTCATTTTTATTGCTTTTCAGTGTTTTCTTGCTTGTTCTTATCTAAATTTATTTTTCCAGATCTTTGGAATCACTACCTCCTCCTACTTAAAAAAAACAAAAACAAAACATAACAAAAACAAAACAACCTTCTGAAATCCCCTGAGATTTTGATTAAAATTGATTTAAACTTAAATTATTTTGGGAAGAATTTATATCTTTAAAATGTGGAGTCTTCATGGGAATATGTTATATCATCTCTTCATTTATATAACCCTTTTATATCTTTGGATAAAACTACCTTGGTTATGTCTTTGGCTCACCCCTCCCTCATTCTTTTTTTTTTTTTTTTGAGGCGGAGTCTCGCTCTCACCCAGGCTGGAGTGCAGTGGCGCGACCTCAGCTCACTGCAACCTCCACCTCCTGGGTTCAAGCAATTCTCCTGCCTTAGCTTCCAAAGTAGCTGGGACTACAGGCGTGTACCACCATGTCTAACTAATTTTTGTATTTTTAGTAGAGACAGGATTTCACCATGTTGGCCAGGATGGTCTCGATCTCTTAACCTTGTGATCCGCCCACCTTGGCCTCCCAAAGTGCTGGGATTACAGGCGTGAGCCACTGCGCCCAGTCCCCTCCCTCATTCTTTACCCTCCCTCAGTGTCAGGTTTTCTCAAGGACTTGTCCTTGGGTCTCTTCTCACGCCAGGCCTGCTTCACGAATGATTCTTTCCTGCATCCTGGCCTTGGTAAACTGCTCCCTGGCCTCTGGTCACCTGTGTCTTACATCACACATGCCATTCCCTCTGCCCAGCTCACACTGCTCCCCTTTGTGCCTGTCAGTCTGTTGTACACACAGAGTTAGAGAAATGAAAACTGTCACAGAGCATGACTTCATGGAGGGCAGAGATTTACACTTGCTTGTTATCACCCAGCTGTGCAACCCTGCCGCCCTGTCTTACTTTCTACAGCCTTAGAGAAAGCAAGTGGATGAGTGGGGCCATGGATGACTGAAGCCATGTGAAGGGATGCTGGGAATGAAGGGATGGTGGGAAGAGAGCACATGTAGCATTTAGAGTCTGATCCAGGTTCGGGTTCTGGCTTTGCCACTTACCAGCCATGTGACCCTGGGCAGGTTAACTGACCCCGTAAGCTTCCTTTCCCTCTCTGGAAATGAGGCTGCTGATAATTCAGCAGGTGGGATTGTGGTGAGAATTATCTTAAGAGAATGATTTAAACTCTTAGCACAGTCCCTGGCATAAATGAGAGCCACAGCTCTAGAAGAGGTGCAAGTCCTTGTCTTGCTTGTGGAAAGCATCCTGTTTGACAAGGACATTGACTTTTCCAGGGAAGTTGGTAAGGACTTCCTGAAAAGAGATACTTCGGCTGGCAGAGTTCAGTGGGGGCTCCCAGGCAGCAGGGAGTGCACGTGAGCTTTGGCTGTTAGACAGAAGTAGCTTGCATCATCTACAATGAAGCTTGTTTTGTCTGTTTATCTCAGGTTCCAGTGGGATGGGAGCTTATCACGGAAAACATAGTTTCGATACTTTTTCTCATCAGCGTCCCTGTTTATTAAAAAGTTTGAAGAGAGAAGGTGCTAACAAACTCAGATATCCTCCCAACAGCCAGTCAAAGGTGGATTGGGGAAAATTTTTTCTCTTGAAACGGTTCAACAAAGAAAAACTCGGTCTCCTGTTGTTCACTTTCCTGGGCATTGTAGCCGCCGTGCTGGTCAAGGTGAGTCCCTATTACCCATGAGTGCCATTCTGTCTGGTCCTGGCCCAATGGCTGCCAGATGCGTATTCTAGCAGGACTCTACATTAACTTGTAGAGTGTAAGACAGGGTCAGTGAACCACAGCCTGCTGGCCAGCTACCTCTTTTTGTCACTAAAGTTATTAGAACACAGCCACACCCACTTGTTTACTAATCATCCACAGCTGCTTTCATGGGATGGTGACAGAGCTGAGTAGTTGCAACAGAGGCTGAAAGGCCCTTAAAGCCTAAATTATTACAGAAAAGTTTGCTAATCTCTGGTCTAAGAGGTTAAAACAGTGTAGAACTTGATTGCAGAATTCTGAGCTATCTGATCAAAGGGTTAGCCCTTTGATCCTTCTGGTATTGGACTTCCCTTGTCACTTACAGCTTTGTTCTTTTTTTTTTTTTTTTTTTTTTCCCTTTGAGGAGTCTCACTCTTTTGCCCAGGCTGGAGTGCAATGGTGCAATCTTGGCTCACTGCAACCTCTGCCTCCCGGGTTCAAGCAATTCTCCTGCCTCAGCTTGCTAAGTAGTGGGGACTACAGGTGCCTGCCAGCCTCAGCTTCCCTAGTAGCTGGGAGTACAGGCGCCAGCCACCACGCCCAACTAATTTTTGTATTTTTAGTAAAGACGGAGTTTCACTACACTGGCCAGGCTGGTCTCGAACTCCTGACCTCAGGTGATCCACCTGGGCCTCCCAAAGTGCTGGGATTACAGGCATGAGCCACCACGCCTGGCCAGCTTTGTTCTTGAATGTGCATGAAATCAGCTTGCCACGGAGATGGAGGCAAGAACTCTGGTGCAACAGCTTTGGTGAGGGATATTTTATTAGGCTTGAGTGTTTTTCCTCCAAAGTTGACTACCTGATAAAGTTTATCTTTTGTGATTAATCATTATAGAGATGGGCTTGCAAAGAGGCCCTCATGATAGCTGCCTTCTCAAAGCAGTTTGCATATTTTGAGGTGAAAGAGGAAATCCATAATTAAAGTTAAGATGGAATGACGAACACAGTTGTGTCTGTGGCGCCCTCAGCCGTTCAGCTGAGGATGTAACGTTGAAAATATTGACCATATCAGGGAAGAATGGGCTTGGAAAAGGCAATGGTAATAGCTGTGTTTATATTTTGTTTAAAATTTGAAAGGGGGCTGGGTGCAGTGGCTCACGCCTGTAATCCCAACACTTCAGGAGGCTGAGGCGGGTGAATCATGAGGTCAGCAGTTCAAGACCAGCCTGACCAATATGGTGAAACCCCGTCTCTGCCAAAAATACAAAAAATTAGCCGGGCACGGTGGTGCGCAACTGTAGTCCCAGCTACTTGGGAGGCTGAGGCAGGAGAATCACTTGAACCTGGGAGGCGGAGGTTGCAGTGAGCCGAGATAGCGTCACTGCACTCCAGCCTGGGTGACAGAGCGAGACTCCATCCCAAAAAAAAAAAAAAAATTTGAAAGGGGATTGGCTCGTCTTACAGTATCCTAGCTTTAGTGGAGTTGGAGATACCAGTTGCATTTGAAATCGTTTGGGTTTTCTCAGAAATACCAAGCTGTGCTGAGGAGAAAGGCCCTGTTGATTTTTCTGGTAGTTCACAGACTGCGTTGGTCCAGTAAGCAGAGATGAACACCAGATTTCAAAACCCAGCCCTGTCTGTTAAGAGTGAGGTAGGAACTTTTTGTTTTCTTTCTATATGTAAGGTGGGCCAAGTTGGGGTATGTTTTCTAGGGTTTTTTTTGTTTTGTTTTGTTTTTTGCTACAGTTGGAGGCTTAGGGGTTATTGAAAAAAGAATGGGCCGGATGCAGTGGCTCACGCCTGTAATCCTAGCACTTTGGGAGGCCGAGGCCTGAGTTTAGGAGTTTGAGAACAGTCTGGCAACACAGTGAAACCCCGTCTCTACTTAAAAAAATTAGTTGGGCATGGCGGCGTGCGCTTGTAGTCCCAGCTACTCGGGAGGCTGAGGCAGGAGAATTGCTTGAACCCAGGAGGCGGAGATTGCAGTGAGCCAAGATTGTGCCACTGCACTCCACCCTGGGTGACAGAGCGAGACTCCGTCTCCAAAAAAAAAAAAGAGAGAGGAATGTTTAACTTACTTATCTCTAGACATTTTGGACCTGGGCTCAGAGTGTCAGGGTGTTAAAACTCCACTTATCCACAGTTTTAAAAGGGCGAGGCGACTTGCTAGGAATCTAAGATAAATGTGCAGAGGCAATGGCTTAGCTGCGTCCGGGTGAAGCATACATCATCTCTAGGAAAAGGGCAGCCAAGTGTGAGCCTCATTTCTCTTCCCCTTCTACTCAGCTCTCCTGGGGGAAGTGCCAGCTGACTAATTCAGACTTGTCACCATCTAGGCGCTGAACTCTTTGTGTCATAATTTAAGAATATTTTTTAAATCAAGTGTAGTTGTGATTTGTTTTCATTTTTAAAAAAGGTTTGACTTTGGAATTCATGGCAGCAAATGTCGTGAAATCAAGGTGTAGTATACAATTTAGGGGCTGCTTTCTTCTCTGCCTTCCTGAGGCTGGAGGTGTGGTCGGAAGCTTACTTGGGTCTCTGGTCAATATCTGCCTCTTTTGTTCTTTTCCCAAGACCTTGGTTCCTCAGCCTGATAATGCGACTTGGTTGGGATAGAATATTTTAGCCTCATGGAAAATACGGAGGCCCAGGCTGAGTCTGCATTCTCCACGCTTACCAAACCCCCAAGAAGCCTCCCTCAGGTGCAGTGCACTCTGCCAGGCAGGTTCGAGTTCCCAAAGGGTTTCTCTGTGAGGATCTAGAGAAGCAGCAATATATAAAAGAAGCAGCAATATATAAAATCTTTAGCAGGAACAAGAAAATGTGATTTGATTCTTGGCTTAATGACCTTGAGCAAGGCCTTTTCTGAGCTCTTCCTTTGGCCTCAGCTTGCTCATCTACAGGATGAGGGAGTAGGTGTCAGTGATTCTCCAGGCCACTTTCAACCCTCCCTCTCAATTCTCATTACTATTAGTTGTTAATATTTCTTCGGATTCAATCTGGAACTAGGTAGAGATTTGGTTTTCTTTTCTGCTTTGCTGCTTTTCTGCTCCTCTCTGAGCTTTTAATCCTCTTTTTATCAAATTGCCTTTTATTTTAAATAAATGACTTTGAATCTGTACTGTATATTTACCTGAAGAGTCTATTTATTGTAATTACATTTTTCTGAAATGGTTTTTATGTACTTAATAGTTTCCTTATTTTGTTTCACCCTTGGATTTTATTTTATTAACTACCTTACTGGAATTAGAAGGGATTTAGAGCGTAAGTACTGTACACAAAGTAAAGTTCCAATAAAGCTTATAAGCTACAGAAGGCATTATGGGAGATGTGAGTTTTAAAAGATTGAGAAACATAGGAGGTTAATGTTGATAAATTTCATTAGGCCTTTGACAACTAAATATGACATTTGAACCTTGAGATTGCAGCAGCCCTTCCTCAGTCTTCAATAGGAAGGATTAAATTCAGTACCACTTTTGAATTTTAGAAACAAAATTGTTTACCAGTTTTTGAATTCCATGTAGAGACTTTAGCTTCCTACTGAAAATGCCGGGATAGGAAGTTAGTACTCTCATCTTCTGTCTCTACTCTAACATTAGCTAATTGACAGTGGACAGAATATAGCCTCCATTATCACGTAGTCTCGCTATTATTGTTATTTTTGTTTTTTGAGGAAGGGCGTAATCCTTTAGCCCAAACCACGCTTCCTAGGCTTCCTAGGGATATGCAGTCATTTTTTGTACAATGCCTGTAGAGTCTCTTCAGACAGGAGGTATCTGAGTCCCAGTGCTGAGCTTGTGTTGCAAGGCTGATTGTGGGTAGGTTTTTAAAGCAGCTGAGTAAACTGGATCCCTTTTTCCTCTCTCCAGGCTGGATATTACTGAAGAATGATCCTGTTCAACCTCCTAGTGCCTCTACTGAATTATTCCTCTTTTAAATGGTTAATGAACCAATAATTTTTAAATCCTACCAAAAATAGTAAGAAAATATGCAAACACACTGTGATCAAACTCAAAAGTCATTGCCATTCATCATTAATAAAACTTGCCATTTCAACCAAATCCCAACATTCCCTAATAGGGTATTCAGGGAACCTGCCTTAAATTGTGAGTATCTAAATCTTGGAGCTTTGAGCTAGGGGAGGACTAAATACAAACTTTAAGGAAGTCTCAGAACCTACTCAGTGAATCCTTCCCTCCAGTTAATGGCACTGCCCACCTCCTGCCCCTGCTACCACCATCACTGTATGAAGCTTTCAAGAGCCTGGTGCTTCCCAGGGCTACCAGCAGTCCTCTGTAGTCAGAGAGGTGAGGTCAGATGGTCTCGGTTCCCTGTGAGATTTCAGGCACTAAAACCCTATGTGGGGGAGGGAGGGGTTACTCTTCCTCCAATGGGACTCAAGGACTTGACCTCCAGGAGTCAGGCCCCTGGTCAGAAGTGCCATCTCACCAGTGGTCTTCATTCTCCCTCATTCATGCTCCATCATCCTGTGTTCTGTTTAGTTGCAACAATCTCTTGTGACTAATATCACTCAAAGCATCTTGTAAATCCTAGGGCTTCCTGGAAGTTAGTTGCCAAAGTCATACAAGCATCACCTGTCATTCTTGTGTTGGAGTTATAGAATTCTACATCTTATAAAACCTAACTGGCATTTTAAAAATACTGTAGCCGGACATGGTGGCTCATGCCTGTAATCCCAGCACTTTGGGAGGCCGAGGCGGGAGGATTGCTTGAGTCCAGGAATTTGAGACCTGCCTGGACCACATAGTGAGACCTCATCTCTACCAAAAAGTAAAAATAAGCTAGATGTGGTGGCATGAGCCTGTGCTCAGGAGGCTGAAGCATGAGGATCGATTGAGCCTGCGAGGCCAAGGCTGCGGTGGGCTGTGATTGCACCACTGCACTTCAGCTTGGGCAACAGAGCAAGACCCTGTCTCCCAAACAAACAAAAAAATACTGTAATAAAAGTACTTATACTAATCCTCTCTCAGGACCCTAAGGTTGCAGGTTAGTAGGCCTTCAAGGACAAATCTGTAAGTTTCTTATTTCTGTAGCACAATGCAAGTAAAATTTCACTTTTTTAAACTACAGAGAGATCCCTTTCTGAATAGCCTGCAGAACTGAAAGTGAGGGAGCCATTGCCTCTCGCAGACAAAGAGGCCTTGGATATTAGGACTTTGGGGTTTGAGAGCTTCATGGGGCAGACAGTTGGTGGATGGTCTTGACACGAAGTGAGTAAGCCACTGCAATTGGTCATACTGAAGGGGATGGATGGCAAAAGGATCCCCTGAGCAAGTGAGAAGTTACTCTCATCAGTCGTCCATGGCCACAGCCTGAGGTACTCAGCTGAGTGGGCAAGGCTGAAGAAGAGGCCTGTCGAACGCAGCGTTACCTGCTGGACAGGGCAGGGCAGGCAGTGCTATGCCTTGGAGCTCCTGACTGCAGAGACTCCGTCCCCACACTCAAAAAGACTCAGCTCACTCAATGAGAGAATGTAATTTACTTTATAGAATGTATAATCAACTTTGTTGAATAATTTGTTCTATTAAGGCTGTCTAAAGTATGTGATGTCTTCATCATAGTATGAAGTGTCGAGAATTAATAACTAGCCCAGTTTAGGAAAAAGCTGCTTAAAACTGGCTCTAAGAGAGTAATCATAAAATACCTTAGATAAAATCGCATTATGGAATTTTCATTGAGTATGTTTACATTACTGGCTTGTCTACTAATATATATCTGCTTCAAAATGAACATCTTTCATAAAATTGGCATCAATTTTAATGACGTTCCTGGTGTGGAACCTCAGATGTTCCCTATTGGAGATAATCCTTGGGTTATAAATTCTCCCCAACTATAAATCTTTTTATGTCTTTATCATAGATGGTGTTTGTCAACTTTTTTTGTCATGCTTTCTCATTTTAAAATTCTTAGCCGAGAAGATTTTCTCAAACTTCATGGTTCTGCTGTGTGTGTTGGGGGTGGTGGTTAGTAGCTGTAGTAAATAGATTTTTCCAATGGTGTCCTCTTACCCCCAGTTGCTGATCTAGAACAAGTGTTTCTGTAAGCATATTTGTAGAACACTAATCCCGCAAGATTTTACACACAAAAATGATCCTGCCGCAGGTCCTGTATACCACTGGCTTGTAAAGCACGTCAGCAAACTAAAGGACACAGGTCCTTCGGAACCTCTGAAGTGCTAGTGTGTGCAGTTCCCAGACTTCCTTGACCGTGGAGCCGTTTACCTTAACCCCTGTTAACCGTGAACCACACTTGGGCAAACAGTGCCTTAGAGTCTGGAATTGCTTCCATGATGACTTTGCTGTGCTCTGTTCCTACTTGTTTTCTGCCCTTATTTATATCACGTCACTACTAGAAGAAAAAGTACAGTAAGAACAAGTGTTTCTTAATGTCTGTGATAAATGAAAACACTGATGGAATGAAAGAACTGGAGAAAAGGGGAAGAAGGGTATATGGACAGCCACCGCCCTGGTCAGGGTCTCACAGCACCTGTATCAGCTGGTTTATCTGTATCACCTGTATCTGCTGGGGGCACACAGGAGTTGCCTGGACAGAACCCACTGGCCCCGTTCTCAGAGCTTCACAGAGGCTTTATGACAGACTTGAGCAGCAGGCTGTGCCTAGGAAATGTGTCATCTATTATTAATGTAACAGTGGTTTTGGTGATTGTATCTGTAGTCTCCCATTTGAAGCCATTTACATTATTAATAATAGTGGCAGTCCCTGGACTCTGACTCGTGCAGTTGGCTGATGTCTTCTGTGGAGCAATCCAGGCCAGAGAAGAAAACTCCAGCTTGACCAGAACAGAATAGTGAAGTGTGCTCTGTTCAGACTCCTCTGAGTGTCACCGCCAAAGTCGTTTTTTTGAGGAGTCGTTCAAAGTGTCCTCCTGCACTGGACCCCATTGGTGCTTTTGCAGGGCAGACCGTGGTGTGTTTGGGTACCGGGGACAGCCAGTCCTGGCTTTCTGTTTCCAAGCTGCTTTGCTAGTGCCTGGTGGCTAGGATCCTGACCGCGAGCCCCACCAGCAGTGTGGCTGACGCCGCCCCCAGGGCAGCCCCACGGCGGATGACCAGCTGTTTCACTGACAGTCTGCTGGCAGGAGCTGAAAGGGTGTGGGCCTCCTCTGGAGTCCTGAAGAGGTCCACGTGGCAATCAGACCTTGAATACGTTGTCAGGGTAATGCCAGGGGAACTCCCTGTAGCCACTGTGGAAGCAAACAGGAGCAAACTCAGCAGGTCAGTGGTCAGAGGGAGAGCTTTGGCCTTGGAATCGGGAAACCTAGATTAACCATCTGGCTGTGTTTGTTAACACCTCACAAGGGACAATGCCTATACAATAGAAAAATACCTGCTTTATCTGCTTTACAAGCAAGATCAGAGGAGGGGATATGCAGGCAAGCGTCTTAAACGGAATTTCACATGCAGATAATGCTTACTACTGAGATCTGGTGAGGAGTGTTCTTGTCGGCGCTTGGCCCTGTGATGATCTGTGGCTTCAGAAGCACATGGGAAACACAATCGTGTCTTACTGTATTCTCTCATGACACCTGACACTCCCAGAGTTTTAGCTGCCTCACTACTGCCCTGATCAAGGATTAGCCCAGGATGGATGAGGTCACGGAGACATCATCTTCCTGAGCTTTGGGCCATTTGCACACACGCCTGGCACTCAGGACCAGCCCTGGGGCAGAGCTGGGGCCATCACTTCATGACATGGACATTGGGCGTAAACCAGAGAGAGGCTTGTCTGCCTGAGGGGGTGGAGAGCGGTAGGTAGCAGGTGCCCCCCAAAGCCGGTGAGTCAGCCGGGCTCCCCGGAGGTTAAAAGCTGGCTTTCCATCTTGAGCAGAGTTCAGTGGGGGAGATCATGAGCTTTAAGAGTCCGACAGGTTGATGCTCAGATCTTAGGTCTGGCCTTTACAAGTTGTGGGATGAGGGAGGAAATACCTGAGTTCTTTCAGCCTCACTTCCTCATCTGAAAATGGGCATACATCTAGTTGCCTCTCAAGGCCAAAGACTTGACGTAGGGCCTGGTACTTGCATGCCTGCTAGACAATAAATGATGATGTTGTCTTCCTGGTGCTTAGGACATCATTTTCATGATGGAAGAAAAATAGCTTTGGCTTGTACAGTTTCCAGTTGCATGAGGCACAGAGGGCAGACAGGAGCAACATGCCACTGACATTTCTGTGTGTACCAAAGTAGCAGCAGCCGTGACAGCATTACCTGAAGATAGGACTGCTTTCTCAGGCCCAGGTCTGGGTGCAGTGCTCTCTGCTCTCTGCTGCTGCTGCTGCTGGCCTGAGTGTTTCTTCGCCTAAAGGAGAAAGAACTCGCCTGGGTCAACTGCCAGCTCAGCAGTTCACGCCTTCACCGCTGGCCTCGCATTCACTGTTTTTAAAGCATTGCAAGCTGAAGCAGCACATGTGCATGTATTCATAGTTGGTGGGGCTTTTAGAAAGTATCATTTTAAGGCTGGGCGTGGTGGCTCACACCTGTAATCCCAGCACTTTGGGAGGCCGAGGCGGTGGATCGCTTGAGCTCAGGAGTTCAAGGCCAGCCTGGGCAATATAGTGAAACCTGTCTCTACCAAAAATACTAAAAAAGTAGCTGTGTGTGGTGGCGCATGTCTGTAGTCCTAGCTACTCAGGAGGCTGAGGCAGGAGAATCTCAGCCCTGAGAGGCAGAGGTTGCATTGAGCCGAGATCGCACCACTGCACTCCATCCTGGGCAACAGAGCGATACTCCGTCTCAAATAAATACATGTATCATTTTAAATATCTGTTTATCCAGCATCTTAAGTGTCAGGATGACCTTTTCTGTGCACAAAGGCAATCCACATGCTGATGGTATTCAGGGTCTTTGAGAGAACACTGCTTCCATGCTCTGCTTGCAGACTGAGTTGTGCCTTCGCTGTGCCTGAGATGCAAAGGCTGCCCTGCCCTGTTTAAAAAGGACATCAAAGAGGATGGTGGGTAGGGTGGTTTTATTACCCCTTCCAAAGTCAAGGCACACGCTCGGGGGTTCATCCGGGTTCAGACTAGTTTGAATTCTTTGTGTGTGTTTGGTTTTCCACAGATGGGGCCGTCTAAGGAAGGTTTTTGGTTTTGTTTCTGTGTATAACCGCAGCGCGTGCTGCTTATCCTGGCCAACTACAGTGACAGGAGCCACTGTTGAGGCTCAGGTGGCCCCTGTGTAATCCCCTACAAAACACCTGCAGCTTATACCACACTGCTGCCAAGTTCTCGTGTGTTCTGGGCATTTCTGACTGAGTAGTCACTCTACCTGCTGGGGTCAGGTGCAGGATGTGTCCTGTGGCCAGGGGCAGCCGACCCACTCACCTCCTCTGCGGCAAGCTTCCAGTCCAGCCGGGCAGTATAGGCAACAAAGGCAGCAGTTGCCAGGAAGACACAGGCCAGCATGCCCAGCCAGAGGCCTGGAGGAGACAAGCGATGATGGCAACAGGGTCCGACCGACCACCCAGGCCCCTCCCGACTTCCTCACACCACATACCCATGATTCTCATTCTGACCAGAAAGGTCAGAAGGATGCCCAGTGGTAGGCCGATGATGTAGTAGGTGATGGCATTCACAGCGGCACCAAAGGCCTGCTTCCCAGTTCCTCTTAGGACTCCGCCATAGACACACTAGGAGGGGAGACAGAAATGGGCAAGAGGGTCGTGATGATGCGACTTTAAGAGCAGGTGTCATGCAGCAGGCACTCTGCTAAGCCGTTCGCATGGCATTGCTTCACTGAGTTCTCAGCGCTGGATGGGCGCCCTTATCTCCCTTTCTTCGCCGAGGGTGGCTGTCCAAGACGGGTCGGATCACTTGTCCGTGTTACACAGAAGTAGCTGTGTTTTGAACACAACCCCACAGCACCCAGGCTTCACCACCATACCATATGGCTTCCCTAGAAAATAAAGGTAGAATTGGTGGCCAGCAACCAGTTGGTCTGGGAGACTGGACTACACATGGTATAGGGGTGGTGTGTTGGTTTCCTGTGGCTATGTAGCAAATTACTGCAAACGTAGTGGCTTAAAGTAACATAAATTTGGGTCGGGCACGGTGGCTCATGCCTGTAATCCCAGCACTTTAGGAGGCCGAGGAGGGCAGATCACTTGAGGTCAGGAGTTCAAGACCAGCCTGGCCAACATGGTGAAACCCCGTCTCTAAAAATACAAAAATTAGCCAGGCAAGGTGGCGCTGTAATCTCAGCTACTTGGGAGGCTGAGGCATGAGAACTGCTTGAACCTAGGATGTGCCACTGCACTCTAGCCTAGGGGACAGAGCGAGACTTGGTCACACACACACACACACACACACACACACACACACACGCAAATTTATTCTTTTACAGTTCTGGAGGTTAGAAGTTTGAATTGGGTCTCACTGTGCCAAAATCAAGAGCTGGTTCCTTCCGAAGGCCCTAGCTGAGAATGTTTCTCTGCTTTTTCTAGCTTCTAGAATTCCTTCTGTATTCATTGGCTGGTGGTCCCACATCACTCCAACGTCTGCTTCCAGCCTCACATCTCCTCTGACCCTCCTGCCTCCCTCTTCTAAGGACCCTTGTATTTACATTGGGCCCACTTGGATGACCCCGGATAATCCCCCATCTCCAGATTCTTAATCGCACCTGCAAAGTCCCATTTGCCGTGAAACACTCACAGGTTCTGGGGATTATGATGTGGACTTTGAAACTTGGGGGCCATTATTTTGCCTAGCACGCATGGCAGACAGTGGTGGTTAGCTCATTCCATATGAGACAAGCAGCCCTCACAAACTGCAGTCTGTGATTATGTCTCATCTGGAAGATGAGAACTGCTCTGGAAAAGGTACTGTTTATTTCATTAGTCTCATTTTCCCAACCTGATTCCAGATCTTCTGAACTACAGGCACAGCTCATCCTCAGTCAGGATTATTGGCCAATAGATACTTAGTTATCTTAATTTTGTTCCCATGAGAGGTGCGGAGTATTTTGTGGTTTGTACATATTTGAACAAAGAGGTAATGCACTGGCGTTAGGAGATGTATGCCTCTTTACTTTGAAATATGGTATGTTTATTTCTGGTTATTATATGTCATGGCGTGATCTTTTTTGGCTAAAGAAAGACTTCTCCCAAATTATGACTGATGTACCCTGGACCAGTGTTTCTCAAATGGGGATGGCAATTTCTGGGATGTCTTTGTTGTAACAACTCTGGGGGTGTGGTGGGGGGAAAGGTTACCGTATCTAGTGGGTAGAGACCAGGGATGCTGCTAAACCTCCTGCAATGCTCAGGGGACCGCCCCCCCCCCCCCCCCCAAACAAAGAATTATCTGGTCTAAAGTGCCAGTAGTGCTGAGGTTGAGAAACTCTGATTTACAGCACTGGGAATTGAAGTGGCAATTTCAGTGGCAGGAAGGGCCAGTGGCTTTGCTAGCCTGAGGTTGTGGGCCTGTTTGGGAGAAACCATCAACCAGTGGACTAGGCAGGGATTTAAGAGGGAGTTTGATGAGATAAAACAGCCAAGGGAGTGGGGAGGTACTGATAAGGTCTCTACATATCCCAAGCCGACCAGAGGCTGTGCATACGGCATAGCAGAGACCAAGCCTCCCACATGTTCCCGGACAGTAGAGCCTGCCCACACGGGTGAAGAGACCAAGAGTACCCAGAAGAAAGGACTCACTTGAAAACAGCTGGAACTCTGAATGTGTCTCTAGCCCACACATGGATCTGTCAGCAGAGAATGGAAGCCTTGCTAGCTATCAGAGGTGTTGAGCACAATCTCTGACCAGTAATTGGCTTGAACACTGACCTCTGCAGACATTTTTAAGCCTAGAAAGATAGAACATTTTAAACTAGAGAGCTAGTCTTAAAAATAAGAACAAGGGGAAAAAAACTGGGCAAGAAAGATCAGCAGCTGTACATTGTAGAGGAGACGGGAGTCACAGAATTAGTCTGTGCAAGTTACTTAACCAACACAATGACATTCCTTGGGTGTAAATCCCAAGGAATGCAGCATTCTCCAGGATAGACCTGTGGTAGGCCACCAAACAAGTCTCAGTAAACTAAAACAAATTTTTTTAAGAGATGGAGTCTTGCTATGTTACCCTGGCTGGTCTTGAACTCCTAGGCTCAAGCAATGCTCTCATCTCAGGCTCCTGAGTACCTGGGACTACAGGCACATGCCATCGTGCCTAGCAAATTTTGAAAGACTGAATTCATACAAAGTATGTTCTCTGGCCACAACAGAATTAAATTAGAGATGCTGATCAGAAATAAAACCCCAAATATTTGGAAATTAAATGCACTTCTAAACCATAAGTCAAAGAATAAATCACAAGAGAAATTTTAAAAGATTTTGAACTTGAAAGTTTTAATGAACATCAAAATTTATTAGATGCAACTAAGGCAACGCTTAGAGGGAAATGTACAGCTTCAAATGCCTGTATCAGAAAAGGAGAAAGGTCTCAAATCAATGACCTAATATTCTACCCTAAGAAGCTAGTAAAGAAGAAAAACTATACCTAAATAAAGTCAAAGGATAAGAATATAAAAGATTAGTGTGGGCCAGGCATGGTGGCTCACACGTGTAATCCCAGCACTTTGGGAAGCCAAGACAGAAGGATTGCTTGAGGCCAGGCGTTAAGAGACCAGCTTGGGCGATATAGCAATACTGTGTCTCTTTAAAAAAAAAAAAAAAAAAAAAAAGTTAAAAAATAAATAGACAAAAGATTAGCATGAAATCACTGAAATAAACAACAGAAGACTAAAAGATGCATCTGTTTAAAAAACTACTTTTCAAGACAGTGTAAGATATAAATAGAAACAACAAAGTTAAGAAACAGCAGGGGATGAAGTTAAAGTTTTAATTTATTTTATCTGCTTGTTTTTGCAATCAGTATTTAGTTGTCATTAGTTTAAAAGTAATGGATTATTAGCCAGGCACAGTGGCTCAGGTCTATAATCCCAGCACTTTGGGAGGCCAAAGCTGGTGGCTCACCTGAGGTCAGGAGTTCAAGACCAGCTTAGCCAACATGGTGAAACCCGTCTCTACTAATAATACAAAAATTAGCCAGGCATGGTGGCGAGCACCTGTAATCCCAGCTACTTGGGAGGCTGAGGCAGGAGAATTGCTTGAACCCGGGAGGTGGAGGTTGCAGTGAGCCGAGATCACACCATTGCATTCCAGCCTGGGCTACAAGAGCAAGACCCTGTCTCAAATAAATAATATTGCAAGCCTCATGGTAACCTCAAAAACCTACAAAAGATACACAAAAAATAAAAAGTATACCACCAGAGAAAACCACCTTCACAAAAAGGAAGACAGGAAGGAAGGAAGAGAAGACCACCAAACCAGAAAATAAATAACAAAATGGCAGGACTAAGTCCTAACTTATCAATAATCACATTGAATGTAAATGAACTAAACTCTCTAGTTAAAAGACATAGAATGGCTCAGTGGATAAAAAACAAAACCCAATGTTCTGTTGCCTACAAGAAGCACACTTCACCTACAGAGACACACATGGACTGAAAATAAAGAAATGGAAAAAGATACTGCATACAAATTGAAACCAGAAGGGATCAGGAGTAGCTTATACTTAGACAAAATAGATTTCAAGACAAAAACTATAAAAAGGGACAAGATCATTAGATAATGATAAAGGGGTCAATTCAGCAAGAGATTATAACATTTATAAATATATATGTACCTAACACTGGAGCACCCAGATATATAAAGCAGATGTTATTAGAACTAAAGAGAGAGAGATATTTCAATACAATAATAGCTAGAGATTTCAACATCCCACTTGCAGCACTGGACAGATCATCCAGACAGAAAGTCAACAAAGAAACATTGGACCTAATCTGCCCTATAGACCACATAGACCTAATAGATATTTACAAAAGATTTCGTTCAAGTGCTGCAGATACACATTCTTCTCCTCAGCATAGGGATCATTCTCAAGGACAGACCACATTTGAGTCACAAAACAAGTCTTAAAAATTTCAGAAAAAATTGAAATCATATCAGGTATTTTCTCTGGCCACAGTGAAATAAAACTAGAAATCAATAACGAGGAACTTTGGAAACTATACAAAAACATGGAAATTAATATGTTCCTGAATGATCAGTGGGTCAATGAAGAAATTAAGGAAATTTTTAAAATTTCTTGAAACAAATCATAATGGAAACAACATATCAAAACCTATGTGATACAATGAAAGCAGTACTAAGAGAGTTTATAGGAATAAGCACCTACATCAAAAAGTGGAAAAACATCAAATAAATAACCTAATGATGCATCTTAAAGAACTAGAAAAGCAAGAGCAAACCAAACCCAAAATTAGCAGGAGAAAAGAAAGAATAAAGGTCAGAGCAGAAATAAGTTAAATTGAAACAAACAGATCAAAAAAATACAAAAGATCAATGAAATGAAAAGTGGTTGTTTTGAAAAAATAAAATAGGCAAACCTTTAGCCAAAGGAAAAAAAGAGAAAAGATCAAAAATAAATAAAATCAGAAGGGAAAAAGGAGACATAACTAATACCAAGAAATGCAAAGGATCATTAAAGACTACTATGAGCAACTATATACCAATACATTGGAAAACCTAGAAGAAATGGATAAATTCCTAAACACATACAACCCACCAAAATG